GCGTCTTTGCCGTGGCCGTCGTTGGTGCGCGGAACGACGGCCTCCGCGGCGTGCGCCAGCTCGAGCCGCAGGTCTTTTTGTCGATCGGGGACAAGATCGGCGCATCGATGCCGCTCGGTGAGAGGTAGGTAGAGTCCATCCACGTCGAGTACTATGCGTGGGGCGGCGAGAGCGGGTGCATGGGGCGCGCGCGGCGCGGCGATCAGCATCGTGGCCAGCCTTCGTCGCGAGCGGTTCGCCGGCCGGAGATGCGTCTTGATAATGGGAGATGACTCGCTGATCCGGAGAGGCATCCTCTCTAGTCTCTGGAGGGGAGAATTGGTTGAGAGATTTGGTCGTGGGTGGCCGCGCGTCGGTAAAGGACGACGCGCGGACGTGTTTTGTACGGGCTACGGCATTCCTTGTATCTCTCTTACTCTTGGTCTTGAGCCGGCTCCGGCTCAGGTCGTGGGGCATAGCTCGGGTGTAAACGGGGTCTGGGGCGGGAGCCCCAGCCGGGGTCTGGGGCGGGAGCCCCAGCGGGGTGCGGGGCAGAGCCCCGCGAAGAAAATTTTGACGATTCTTAGCTCAAAATACACTAGATATCCATCCTAAATCGCAATCTCTACGAGCATCGATCGAGGATGAAGCGCTCGTTCCCAGTGGGGATCTCCCACAGCTGATCGGGCGGGTCGGCGCGCTGCGTCTGTACGCGCCGTGCGATGCCTTGGAGCGCGACCCGACCGGACCGTCGCACCACATCCAAAGCGGCGCCGCCACCGAGCGGCGCAACCAGCTGCATCTCCACGTTGATCATGCGCAGCTCGGACGAGTTGAAGGTGAGGACTGCGGGTCCCTCTGGCGCGGCGCCCTCCGCAGCCGCGCCTGCCTCGGCGGCGCCTCGCCCCCCGCGCCTACCGCCACCACGCCCGCGTCCCCCACCGCCGCTGCCACCACGCCCCACAGCAGCAGCAGCAGCGGGCGTGGTGTCGGCGCCGGGGCGCCACGCCTTGAAGATCCGCCGCTCGTCGCCACCGCTCACGTCTCGATCGAACCACTCGACCTCGATCTCCATATCGCCGGGATCGTAGCGCACCCTCCCGCCTGTGCCTGCGACGCTGCCACCCGTCTGAAAGGGAGGCCTGAGAGCGACGGCGCGGCCGATCCAATACTGGTCCGGGTCGTCCTCGCCGCGGTTCTGCACCGCAACCCACACCGCGTTCGTGCTCTTCGCAAAGTGCGCCTTCAGCTGATCTCGGAGGGATCTAGAGAGCTGGCGGGTACGGGCCTTGGAGGAGGCTACGCCGGCAGCGTCCGAGCGCGCCACGCTGGTCTCCCTCCACCGCAAGCCCGGCGACGAGCAGCCGTGGCAGCGGTAGTTGGAATCCATGGTACCCTCGCCAGGAGCCGACGCCTGCATGCACGCGTCGCACCAGCACGCGAACGGCCGCTGAAGAGTCACGCCCTCACGCACGGGCATGAAGAGGAACGTCTTCTTCATGCCGGGCATCGACTCAAAGTCCTGTCCGACGGGGCGGATGATCTCAGCCGTCGGTGTGTACGACACCACGACCTCATTGATCGTCTTCTTGAAACGCCCTGCGCCAGCAATGGGGCAAGTTCGAGGCGCTGGTCGGCGTGTCCACGGCGACCTCCAACGCGACTCCCGAGTCTCTTCTCCAGTTGTGCGCCAACTCGGAACACTCCGTGTTCGTGATCATGGACGAGAAGGGCAATAAGCTTTTCGAGCTGGCCGACGCATACAGTAAGACACAGGGCGCAAACGCAAAGACCCTCCTCGAGCTCATGAGCGGCGTGCCTCAGAAGATCCAGCGCGGCGGGATCACTGGAGGACCCACGCCGCGAAGGGAGGGTGGCGGCCGAGCCCACAGAGCGAGAGAAACGCCCCTTATCCGTTAGGCCCTGAGGAGCCTCGCCGGCCGTTGCACTGCGAGCCCCCGCCGGGCTTCGCTGACGGTGACATCCTTGAGGACGGCGTCAAGGGTGACGATGAGGGCGATTCCAGCCTCTCCGCGGTCGCTGCGGCCCACGGTGTTTCTGCGGCCCTCGGTGGAGCCGCCCGGCCGTCACTCACCACCATGTGGGACGATGCGATTCCCTCATCGACTCACCGCGCCACACCCTCCCTGTTCACAGGGATCGAGGAAGAAGAGCCCGACGACGAGTCCGACGGCGAGCCCTGCGGCGAGTCGCAGGAGCCGGATGGCGGCAACGGTGGTGAGACCGACCCCGAGTCCAGCCACGACGAGTCGTCCAACAACTCGTCGGACGAGTCGGACGACAACGATGAGAGTGGCGACGACGACCAGTTGGCTCGTCTCAGCGCAACTCCCCCGCACAAAGGACGGAAACAACCATTAGACAGTGGTGGAGGGCACTGCCTGGCCCTGGGCAGCCCGGGACCAAACCACCCCTCACACCCGGCGCATGCCCGCCGCCGCATGCGGGGGCACCGTCTTGACGAGGAGCTCGCTCGCCAGGAGCTGCTGGTTCTCGAGCCGCTGAGGCCACGAGAGGTTGCTGTAGCAGCGGTCGCCCAAGCAGCCGGGATTCTTCAGCGGGGCGCGCACCTGCGCCACCATCTCCTCAAATGCGGGCGTCTTGACGAGTTGCCGCTCGCTATCGAGGTAGGCCACTCGCCGGCAGCGGTACTGGTAGCTTGTACCGGAGTGCGGGTCAAACTTGGAGCGGTAGTCCACCCTCACCAGATCTTGCGACGAGTCAAAGGCGACCTTCTCGCCGTCGGGGCCCTTCAGGGTTTCGCTGGCAGACGGGGCGTAAAAGAATCCAGCCGCGCCCGCCATGCTCAGCCACTTTCCACTCTTGCTCACGTGCAAAATCATGGGCGGCTGGCATGGAGCGCAGCATGCGAGGCAGGCACCCCAGATGGTCGTGTCTCTTGCCCAGTTGGTATCCAGGCGCTTGGTAGCGACGGCAGACAGCCCTTCCGGTGGCGCCTGGCTCCAGTCTGCCTCTTGAAGCGTGATGAGGAGCTCGTTGACGACATTGTCTTGCATCCAAAAGACACCGCGGTACCGGTCCGGGCAGGCTTCGGGCGAGCCGCCCGAGAGCATTCGCCGCCAGACTTCGTCGTCGCTGTGCAGGATGTCCAAAGTCTCGAGCCCTCCGCAGCCTTTGAGCGAAGCACCGCAGCAGGCTGCGCACGGCGCACAGGTTGGCGTCCGGTGAGAGTACCAGTTGCATATCCCGATGAGGCCGCAGCACGCGTTGAACGGCGTCTGCGACGGCGAGAGCTGCGGCGGCGCGTACAGTCCGTCATCCGGGAGGACCGGGTGCTTCTCGTCGAAAGCGATGAGGAAGCTGGGGTCCCAGATGTCGCGGACCTGATTCACGACACACGCCATGGTGCGGACGTAGGACCCTTGGAAGGACCTCAGACCTCAGAGAAATTGGGCGCGAAGTGCCTCGAAAGAAAAAATCTCCCGGTTATGTGGGCGGAGACATGCTTTTGGGCACGCCCTGCGAGCGGGGCGGGGTGCGCACTGACCCTCTGTGTTCGTGTGCGTCGCCCATCTCTCCCTGGAGATGACTGCTCTATTTATTTATTTATGCTTTTGGGCGCCGCGAGAGGGCGCGGCTGGAGGCGCGCGAGAGAGGCGAGCGGGAGAGAGGGGAAAGGGAGCAAAACAAGCAGGCTGGTGTAAGAAAACAATCCCGCGTGCCGCGTCTCTCAATGGGTACCTCTTAGCAGGAGGATGTACGCGCGAAGAGATGAGGAGCAGCACAGGGACCCGAGGGACCATGTGGAAGACGGCTAGTGCTAGTCCCCCATCGGGAGGACGACCCCGGCTAGTCGCCGACCACACCCACAAAGAACCTTCCACAAAGATCGCAAGGGCGGGGACCTGTTCCTTTTTACCCATCTCACAGTAGAGAGGTGTCCGTTTTTATTTATTATTTAATGGGTACCTTATGGCTCCCGGGGGTAAAGACAGCGCTGCTGTTGGTCAGGATACGCTGCGAAGAGAGCGATGCTGCGCCGAGAGGCGAGAGCGACAAGACCTTGAGGCCCGCATTCAGCACTGCGGATCAAGCATCATGCGGACATGTGCGCTCCTGCGGTTGCGTCCCCGACAGCGTCGCTTTCAATGATCGCGTCCTGCCGACCAGAAACTTACAAGACCGGGAGCGCATTCGACGGGCAACCGGCCTGATTGGCATCGTCGGCGAAGATCGCCCCTTGCTGTCGTGGGCCCCCGGCGACGCGCCAGGCTCCCTATTGGCGAGAGCTTTGGCGGCGAGCGCCTGCCTCGTCTTCTCTGGCGACCAGTGGCGGCTGCTGCAAGGAAGCACCGGTGCATCCGCAATCACTCCCGAGTGCATGATCAGGCGGGCAATCGCATTGAGTGGCGCTAGTAGCACAAATGGGATGCTGAGGCCAAAGGCGACGACAATCCACATGGGCAGCATACGGAAGCTCCATGGCATTGGCTCTGGACGCACGAGCCAAACGGAGAGAAGTGTGCTGTCGTCGTCGGAATCGGTGGCGTTGTTTTGGTGGTGATTGCTCTGGGCGTCCACCACCCAGGCGCACGAGCGCAAGGCGGTGAGCAGTAAGGCGAGGACAGTGCTGTACGACGCAAGCACATTCATCTTTCGCCCGATCCAGTACACCGGGAGGGCTGACTTGATGACCGCGTGGAGATTCGCATCGGACACGTACGAGAACGCCTGGAGTAGGAGCAGATCGTAGATGACCGCAAACCAGAACAGGAACGAAACGGCTACCCACACGGTGAGGCAGAGGACGTCGACGGGAGTTTCCAAGGGCGCGCTGCCGATGAACAACCAGCCCCCAATCGCCACTGTCAGCAAGAGAGTGTTGTAAATGATGAGCACCTCGCAGCCACTGAGCATGACGTCCCGCAGTTCTGAGCCAACCTTTGCGCTCGCTACTGCAGTGAACACGCTCATGTTGTAGAGGGTCGGCACCGCAACATCGAGGCCCAACAGTGCACGTCGGCTCATGAACGAGTAGTGTAGCCAGACGCGCACGAGGGGCCATTGCAGCGCTGTCTGCTCCACCTCACTCGACACCTCACGTGTCCATCTTGGGCTGCCGTGGCCCTCGTGCGCCGGCTGCTCCACCACTGCACGGCCGATTGCCGTGGGACTAGCTGACACTGACGGGGCTACCTCGCCTGTCCATCTGGTTGGACGTAGCGCCTGGAGCACCAAACCAATCTCCGCGAGATTGATGACCTTTTCCATCGCTTGAACGGCGCGCTCAAGGAGCGGTGGGCTGCTCTGAATACCTGCCCAGTCTCCGACAGCGTGCACGCCGAGCGTATGGAGCACCTCTTCGCAGTGCACAGCGCGCACCTGGTCAGCCAGCGTCGCTGCGAGCAGATCACGGAACGAGTCAGAGCTCTCGACCACAACAGGGTGTATTCTGTTCTTTTTGAGCGACATTGCCGATCGCCTGTGAGCAGATCGTAGCCGGGTCGTGGCCGATTCTTCAGGGACGACCTAACTGTAGTGCGCGTCGGGCTGGTGGTTCGACATCGAGACGTTTTCCAACGGACGACATCGTTTTAGCTTCTTAGTTAGACCCCCTGCCCGGACCCCAACCCTGTGCGCAGGAAGCATTGCGCCGGCCTTTTTCTTTGAGAGCGCCTTCGTTGTTAAATAGAAACAGGAGGCCGCTCGCACACCACCCACTCCGGCTCCCAGCCGACCGACCGGGCGGCGAGCAGGAGGAAGAGCACTAGAGCAGATGCTGAGCCGATTCTTTTTAGTGCCCAGTCCCTAGGATTTTAAATGATTAGTTTGAGCGGCGCCCCCTCGCCCCTCCTGGGGCTGTGGGAGAGAGCCTGAGAGCGAGAGAGAGTTGTTTTTGTTTGCTGTGGGATGGAATGGGCAGGCAGCGTCCGACGCAATTCGTTACCTCCCATGGGATAAATAAAAGCAACCAATGAGAGGCGACGTGCTGAACTCGATACCTTACCCCACTAAAACCTCGATTCTCGGGTCCGAGGGCAGCCTCAACTGGAGTAGGGAAATTTGGATTTTGGTCAAACGCCTGCTGGGGGCAGCTTTGCGGAAGTATTCCGGAAGCCAGATGATCCCCCAGCAGGCACACACACACACGGAGGTGACAGGGGATGGTGGTGGGTTCAAGCAAAGAAGGGGAGGGAGAGAGCGACGCGGCGAGCGCAGGCGGCGAGCGTGCACGTCGCCTGTGCGGCGTCTTGTTCACTCCCCTTTGAGCTACCTTTGTGCCCCCTTAGGGGCACCCCTCCTGCGCTGCGCGTATGGTCACCCCTCCCTTCCGCCCTGTTGTTTTGGATGCCCCGCTCCGAGAAAGCATGTCTCGCAGCTGCGAGAAAAGACCACCCTGCCTGGTCGCCGGCGAGCCCACGGTGAGACGCTCCCACACGACATGGCTGGCGACCAGGGCACGTGTGCTGCGCCGTCTCAGCTCTCGCACATTGCCGCCTCACAGCTTGGCGAGGCACGCCGGTTCTGGGCGGACAAGCAGATACGGACGGCGATGCTGGTGCCGTGGGCCGAGGCGGTGACCGCAGCCTTCACGGGCCCAATATACCCTTTCTTCATGCAAAACCTCGGCCTCGACGCGGGCGGCATGGGCAAGCTGCGCACCGTGCAGCACGCGCTCAACGCGGCGAGCGCGCCCATCGCTGGCTGCCTCCTCGATGCACGCGGCCCCTTTCTTGGCATCGCGCTGCCCGCGTCCCTCTGCGCGATCGGCTGCGCCATCCGATCGATGGCGCAGAGCACGAGCTGGCTCGTCGCGGCCAACGTCTTCTCGGGCCTCAGCGGCGCCAAGACGGAGATGGCGACGGCGCACCTGAGCAGGCACACCGACCCGTCGCGCCGCACGTTGGCGGTGAGCGCGGCGAGGGTGCAGCTGCAGGCGCTGGCTCTGCTGGGCACCCTGCTCTTCACGCCAACCAACTGGGCGCGCGCCGCCGCCACTTTTAGCCCGCCTCTCCGGCCCGCCGTCCAAGGCACCCGGCTCTCCACTACTACCTCCGCGCACGGCTCTCCACCGCCTCCGCGCACCGCCCCCTGGCAGGTGCTGACTGCGCTGCTGCCAGAGAGCACGTGGGGCATGCTGCGCTTCCGGCTGCTGATCAGCCTCTGCGTCTTCGGGTGCGGCTTTGGCGTGATCGTGCTCTGCTGCTCCGCTGGTACGCTCGTCTTTTACTCCTCGGAGGCCGGAGCCGTCTTTCACTCCTCGGAGGCCGGAGCGCTGCAGCCCCGCACGTTGCGGCGGAGCGACGTGGACCTCGGCGCGGCGCGAGGCGCCGAGGTCGGCCGCTGCTGCGGCGACGCGGACGGCTCCGACGCGGCCACGGAGGAGAGCAGCAGCCACGACCCCGAGGGGTATCCCGTCGAGGGCCGCCTCGCGGGCGCCTCAAGCTGCATGTCGTCGCGGCTGCGGACGGTGGGGCTCGCCGCCGCCTCTCGCCGCCGCCGCCCTCGCCGCGGCGCTCAGCCGCCGCCCTTGCCGCTCGCAGGCGCGGCTGGCGCTCTGCCTCGTCGCCCTCTGCCTGGCCGCCGCGACGCGCGACACGCTCGCCGTAGTGTGGCCGCTCTACCTCAAGGCGCACTTTGGCTGGGCGGAGAAGGAGTACGGCCTGCTGCTGCCGCTCCAGCAGGCCGAGCCCCCGAGAGGAAGGAGGGATGTGCGGGCGCAAGGAGCGTGCGCCCAGTCTACTCGGCCGCACCTGCCCCCCGCCTGCAGGCCGCCGCCTTTGGCCTCGTCGCGACGCCGCCGCTGCAGGATGCGCTCGGCTCGCGCGCCTCGCTGCTGCTCGCCGGCTGCGGCGGCGTGGCCTCAGCTCCTAGATGCGGAGCATAGAAACCCCCTGACCTTCACGTCTGGAGGCCGCCATGCCGCCCGAGTACGCGCGCACTCCGGCCGCGGTCCCGCGGCACGCGTCGCGACCGCGCTGCCCCCTTCCGCCTAGCGCAGGCCTGCCACGTGAGCGCCTTGCTGCTTCGCGCGCCGAGCCCAAACACGGAGGGGCTGCACGTGCTGCTGTTCCTCGCCGGAGGGCTGCTCGGCGGCGCGACGGCGCGCGCTGGGCGGGCGCACGGCGTTGAGAGCGGTGGGCGCGGGTTGAAGCGAGTTTGCGGCGTCTCGGCTCCGTAGGAGCTGCTCCTCGTGTCCCTCTCGTCGACCGCGCTGCCTCCCCGCGCGCAAGGCTCGCCTCTCCGCGCGCCACGCCCGAGGACGCGATCTCGGCCACGCTTCCGATCGATTTCGCCGAAGCGTCTGGCGGTAGGCCGTCTCTTTGCGCTCCTCTCGATGACGAAGCTCGGCGGCTCGGTGGGCGGCAGCCTCTACTGCACCGCCCAGTTTCAGGTGTCGCTCGACGCGGCGAGCGGGCCGTACTTCCTGCGCGGCGGCGCGGCGCCCGTCGTCTGGCTCGCCCTCCCCTCGCTCCTCGCCCTCCTCGCCCTGGCTTGCGTCTTGCCGCCGGCCGCGGGCGGGGAGAGGGACGCCTCGGGCTGCGAGGAGGTCTCCGTTGAGGAGGAGAGCAGCAGCAGCATTGAGGCGAGCCCGAGGGTGAAGCGGCACGACCGCTAGAGGGGCAGAGTGAAAGTGTGTATTTTGCGCGTTCACTAGCGGCGCGCGGCGTGTGCTTCTGTGCAGTCTCGCTGGGAGCGTCGCTGCGGACGGGCCGGTGTGGAGCCCCAGCGCGCGGTTCCGGGACACATCACTCATCAGTGCCGCAGTGCAACCCGCACAAGACCGTGCAGGGGGCGTCGCGTCACGCGTGTCGCGTGTGTGCTATCGTCTCGGCCCTGTAAGTAGAGTACGGATGTATTCATCAGTAATCAATACTCTATGGACTATGCGATCATGGCTAGTGCCATTTCACTGTGGCACAGCTCGCGTTTCAAAACCTTGATTTTGACCATTGCACGAGAAAGGGACCTCTCGGTGCCTTCCAGAGGAAGCTGCGACCTCGCCGAGGAGACGGCGTCTCACAGCAGGTGGCGCTGCGTGTCGACTTCTACTCGGCGGGGTCGAATCTGTCTCTGCGCGTCCTGGGGAGGTACATTTGTTGCGCGCCGGAGACGACTCGACGCCGCTGAGATCGGAGATCAAGCTCTGACAGGTCGCACGTCGCTCCTTTGACGCCGACGTGACTCACCCGTGCAGATCACATCAGGACACGGTCTCGACGCGCTCGGTACGACGCCTGCGACCCGTCTCGGGTCAGGTGGCATGACGCTCATCTCGCCCGCCAGCGCTGCCATGCAGGCTGCCACGACGAGGTCGAGCACGCTTCTATACGCTCGCCGAGCCTTCCTTTCCATCCCATTAGGCAGCCTGGGAACGGTGGCGGTCAGAGGCAAAGCCTACGAGGGGTGGTGGAACCACATGTCACGGCCACCGCCGGCTCGACGCCACGATAGCCTCCGGAGGCTGACTTTGAGGCACAGTCATCGGACGATGTCGACGAGTTGGGTCGCTCTCGCGGTATCCAGATGACCTCTCATACTAGGAGCATCGGCCATGGCCGCAGGGAGCGCGGGGGAGGGCGCTGGAAGCAACACGGAGCTCCGTTGGAGGCGTTTTCAAGATTAGCGTGTCAGAGTGAAATGGCACTAGCCCATATGCGATATGGGATATCATATGCAAAAAGGCACATACCGGTCTCGCCGCCGACCGCGCGTGTGGCGTGCGGGGCGGGGCACGCTCCGTCGACCGTCCTCCGAGATACACACGATGGTGCCATTAGGAAGCGTCAAGGGCGTGGGCGGCGCGTCCGATCACGGCATCGAGATGGGCGACGGCGACGACCTGGACGCCTTTCGGAAGAGCGACGCCGCCTGCAAATGGGTTAGGAATCACCGATTCACCACCAATGCGAGTGATTGGCACCTGCCCGCGACTTGACGCGTTGGCGTATGACTACTACGAAAGTGAATGCATCGCATGTTCCGAGAAGCGAGATCCGTGTCGGTTGCGAGTTTCTTAAATTTTCAAGTCTGTGTAGTCTTGTCTTCGTGGCCCTACAGCTACACACACACTATGAGCTCCTATACACGCTGCAGTCTGAGTCTGACCACTGACGCACGTCCGCTCCACCGCACCTGTAACATCCACGGGAACGCTCAACCGTCTAACAGATCGCCGAGCAGCTCCGCGCCTGGAATCGGCGTCGCGCTCGCACCCGGGCTGAGGAGGTCCATGTCGATGACGCCCGCTCACACGTACTCGAGTACGACCAGGACATGCACATGCACGTCCCGCATACAATGGCGAGCATCAGCCTGCGATCCCGTACAGCGGGTTGTTTTGGGAAGGCCCCGTCGTCCCGGGTTCGTAAGCGGGGGCATTGCCGCTCCCCCAGTTCTTGCACGCGGGCGAGTACCTCCCATACGGGCACGGCTGCTGTGGAGCTTCGTACACGACGGTAGTAGGCCGCTGCGACATCGCGGACCCGAGCAGCATGCCGCCCATCATGCCCACAGCCAGCCCGCCGCCGGGCCGCCGGCCAAACCGCCCGAAGCGCCGCTCCGTGACTGTGTCAGCCACCGGCGTGCACTTCTTGCCGGCCCCTGGAATCGACACCATTTCGTCAACAGACTGGCAGACGAGTCCCTGCGCACAGCTCGGGAACGCCTTGCCGGTGGTCTCGTCGAAACCATCGCACGTCTCGCCCTGCTGCGCCAGCCCCTCGGTGGGAAGGTGCGCGGCGCACGCCATTCGGGTGCAGGCCATCCGGCCTTTGTCGCAAAAGCAGCTGTTGCACTCGTTTGCGCCCGTGTCCTTGCCGTGCCAGCCGTCGAGAACTGCCTCGCCGCCGCTGAGCGTGCACGAGCCGGACGTCAGCGAACTGGCGCCCGTGCGCTGAGCGGCGTAGAGAAGGAAGGTCGACACGACGAGAGCTAACGCCGCGGCAGATACTGCCCGGCGCGGCCGGACGCGATGCTCGGGAGGGCCTGGAGCGATCATTGCTGGCTGTTTCTGCTCTCGCCGCCGCGGCTGAAGAGGAGGCGGCAGGCCCCAGCGTCTACGTCCTATACGTGGTCGTTCGTCAATAACAAGGCCCCCCCCCCCCCCCCCCTGTGAACGGGGTTGTGCGAGTGAACGGGTGAAGATTTTTTTGTGTTTCCGTGCCTTGTCGCGGCTCGACGTCGAGAGCTGAGACCGGCTCGCAGGGATCCCTAAGTGCAGCGCAGCACATTCAGTGCCAGCATGTGCACAGCTGCCAATTTTATCATGGCGATGGGCTCCGCGGCGTTCTCTCCTGCGACGCCGCACCCAGCAGCAGCAGCGACGCGTGCCCGCTCCGTCCGCATGGCCGCAGCCGTCGACACCGGCGGCGCTGCGATCGTGGTCAAAGGCGTCGATGTCTGGGCCGGCGACAGCCCTCTCATCCTGGACGTGAACTGGAGCGTGATGCCGAACGAGCGCTGGGCGATTCACGGCACCAACGGTTGCGGAAAGTCGACGCTGCTCCGGGCGATCAGCGCGGCAGCGAATGGCGGCGGCGGCGGCCGGCTCGCGGACGGCGGCCAGCTCGTCGTGTCGTCGTCGCTGCGGCTCGGCATGCTGGAACAGACCGCGGTGTCGGGCGCCGACACGACGGTGCGCGAGGAGGTTGTCTCGCGGATGGAGAGGTACCAGGCGGCCAAGGCTGCGCTCGACTCGGCGGTCGAGTCGTGCGTCCTCGGCACCGACGAGGAGCTCGAGTGCCTGGAGGCGGCGCAGTCGGAGTACGCGGCCGCCGGCGGGTACGAGATTGAGGCGCGCATCTCAAAGGTGCTGCAGGGGCTCGGCTTCGAGACGGAGGAGTTTGACGCGCCCTGCTCCTCCTTCTCTGGCGGCTGGCAGATGCGCATCGGCCTCGCGCGGCTGCTGCTCTCCGAGCCGGAGAGTCTCCGACGAGCCCACACCACGGTTCGGGTACACTCCACGACGTTTTTCAGGGCCTGTTCTGTAGGAGCTGCTCATCATGGACGAGCCCACCAATCACCTCGACGCCGCCGCGCGCCGCTGGCTCGGCGATTACGTGGGCGCGTACCAGGGCACGGTGCTCGTTGTCTCCCACGACGCCGAGTTTCTGCGCCGCGCATCCAACAGCATCGCCGAGGTCGCGGGAGGGCGGCTCGAGCTGTACAAGTCGGTGACGTACGACAAGTTCCTGGAGGAGCGCGAGGAGCGGCAGGCGCGCGTGCGGGCGACGGTGGAGGCGCAGGAGCGAGAGCGCAAGCGCATGCAGGACTTCATTGATCGCATGGGCGCAAAGGCGTCCAAGGCGACGCAGGCCAAGGACCGGCAGGGCAAGCTCGAGAGGCTGGCGAAGCAGCAGGCGGCCGCAAAGGCGCTGCTGATTGGCCAGCAGCGCCGCCCTTCGCTCACGCTCGCAGCGCCGCCGCCGTGTGGCATGACGCCGTTGGCGCTGGCCGGCGCCGACATCCGCCACCCGCTCGGGGCGCAGGACATCATCACGGGCGCCGACCTCGCCGTGGCAAAGGGCATGCGGCTAATCTTGCGCGGCCCGAACGGCGCCGGTAAGTCGACGATCCTAAAGGCCCTCGCCGGGTCGTTGCGTCTGGGCGAGGGGCAGCGCGTCGCCGACGAGCGGCTCGAGCTGGGCGTGTTTGCGCAGGACCTCGCGCAAGAGCTGCCGCAGGACGTGGTCGCGTTCGAGTACGTCTCGCAGACCGTCCGCCGGACAGACGGCACCGTCACGGACGAGCGGTGCAGGGCCGTCATGGGTGCTCTCGGCCTCGTCGGCGACAAGGCGGCGCGATCGATCGGCGACCTGTCAGGCGGCGAGAAGGCGCGCGTGGCGCTCGCGACATTCTGCCTCACGCCGTGCAACGTCCTCCTCCTCGACGAGCCGACAAACCACCTCGACGTGGACGCGATCGCCGCGCTGCTCGACGCCATCGGCAAGTTCAACGGAGCGCTCGTCGTCGTCTCGCACGACCGCGCCTTTTGCGAGGCGATTGACGCCACGCACGTCGGCTATGTCGCCGACGGCAAGGTGCTGGTCGAGGAGCGATCGTTGCGGCAGTCCGACTTCTCAGAGTTGGACCGCGGGGTGGTGAACGTGGCGGGCGCGGTGAGCGCGCCGCCGCCGCCGCCGTCGCTGGCAGAGCCAGAGCGCACGGAGGAGGAGCGCGGGCCGCAGGACTCCGCGCCGAAGCCGCCCGAGAGCCTAGAGGACAAGATTGCGGCGGCGGAAGCGGCGATCGAGGCGCTCGGCGCAGAGCGGGCGAGCTGTGGGGAGGAAGGGGCATTGCTGGCAGAGCTGGAAGAAGAGAAGCGGGGCGCGCTGCAGGCCGAGGTGGAGGCGTGGCGCGCCGAGCTGGAGGAGCGCGCTGCGCAGAGAAAGGCCGCCGAGGAGGCACTCGAAAAGGTATTTAATCGCGGCTTTGAGCCGCCACCGCCGCCGCCGCCCCCTCCTCCTCCGCCGCCTGCTCCTGCGCCGTCGCAGCGGCAGCTAGCCAAGCTGTCCGAGGAGCTCTCCAGAACGGGCAGGGTGAAGAAGAAGGAGAAGGAGAAGAAGAAAAAGTTCGGCAAGCGCGAAAAGGCGGAGTATGCCACCATCGAGGCTGACGTCGCCGAGCTCGAGGCTGCCGCGGCGAAGGCTGAGGCTGAGCTGCAGGAGGTGATTGCCTCGAGGAAGCGGCTTCCTCAGATGCAGCAGTTGGCGCTGGTGAATGCGGCCGCAGCCGCGCGCCGGGCTGCAGATGATAAGATGGACCGATACTTGGAGCTTGAAGAGATGCTCAGAGCTTGCCGAGGAGCGAGGCGCTTGAGCGCGCCAGTCGATACAGCATAACTCATAGCCACTCACAATCTCTATGTCTATCTCGCCGCCAAAAACGATGTTACCCGGTAACAGGTTTGGGGGAGTAACGCCACTAACATATTAGAGTATAAAGTTCTTAGTTTGACGCGCCGCTCATCATTTTGACCTCTATACGGTATACGACCCACCGCGCACCGGCCACCGCGCACACAAGACACATTTTCGGCATTGGCGCGCGCGCGCACACAACACGCTGGTCGCTCACAACGTCCGCAAAAGACACCGCAGTCCGCACCCCCCGGGCCGGAAGTGTGGGGCTCTCCCTCAAGGTCGGGTCGCGCCCACGTGCGTCCCGGGGAGCGCCACCGCGATCGCGCCGTCTCTGTCTTGTGCGCGCTGCGCCTGCGGCCTACGCCGACAGCTGCGGGCACGGTGGCGGCCTCGGCTGCCAGACGTCGGCGAATTGCCAGGCGACAGCGGCGCGCTCGCGATGGCCCTCGGCCTCAGCGCCACGTCCGAGGGCATCGAGCGCATCGGCCGCGCCGGAGAGGGACCATCCGTTCTCCGGGAAGTCGTGCAGGTCGCGGGTAAAGGCGGCGAGGGAGGCGGTCGCGTTCGAGGCGCGTAGCACATACCCGAGGCACTGCCGCGGTGGGTAATACCAGCGCGGCGGCTCCATGTACGGCATCTTGTCCACCGCCGCCACGGCCTTGGCCAGCGCTCCGGCGGCTCTCACGCCGTCGCCCTCGATGCGCCACGCCCGGGCGGCCTCGAGCTCGGCTTGAACCACCTCTGCCCACTCCGACTTTGCGGAGGCGTTGATGGCGCGCGCGGCTTCGGCGTCCGCCCTCTCGGCCGTCTGGCCATCGGCCAGAGCGTACATGGCGAGCGCCCGCGCGAGGCGGAAGGCAGCCTCGTTGTACGCTCCCTCGTCGCCCCACGTCCGAGGCACTGCTTCCGAAAGCACCTCCTCCCACCGCGCAAACCGAGCCAGCGTCAACACAGCCTCGGGGGACGAGGGCCCAGCGCAATCGATGCACGCCACCTTTGGTGATGTACCGGCACAGAGCCAGGCCAGTGGCGGAGGACACTACATACAAGACGATCGTGCGCTCACCCGACGGCTGGCGCTCGTATGACGGCAAGATGGCGAGCGGCGGCGTCGGCGAGTCCTAGGGCGAGTCGAGCCGCTCGCCTGAGGGGAACCACTTCCCGCGGGCAGGGCGTTGGTTCCCCGTTGAGGTGGTCTACGAGCGTGTGGACTGCGATGTGTGTGTGTGTGTGTGTGTGTGTGTGTGTGTGTGTGTGTGTGTGTGTGTGTGTGTGTGTGTGTGTGTGTGTGTGTGTGTGTGTGTCTGTGTGTGTGTGCTCGTGTAATCATAAAAAATAAAAAACTTTGCGCGCCAACGCAGCCGAGAGCGAACTCGCCGTCTGAGCCAAGCGCAGCGCGAACTCGCTCCTTCTCGCGCGCTGCCAGCCAGAGAGCCGCCACCATGCCCTCCACGCGCTCCGTCCTCGCCGCTGTGCTCGGACTCGGGCTGGTCTTCCTCTTCCGTGATGCCTTCAGCGTCTCGTCACCGAACACGGCTGGTCACGGCCTCATGGAGAGGGACGTCGACTCGCGGCTCGCTGCATTGGAGAAGGAGACCGAGAGGCTCGTGGGACGTCCACTCGGCAGCCAGCTGCCCGAGCCAGAACGAGCGGCTACCACGAGGCCAGCGGCCATGAGGCAGGAGCTAGCGGTTGCACGGCAGGAGCCAGCGGCCGCCCCGTCAGCAGCAGCGTCCGGAGCTGCTCGTCCGCAGGCGGTTGCCGGCGAGCGAACGCATTGGTACGACGGGGCGTTTCTCGTCGCCAAGCACGAGCCGGCCAGCAATGCGGCCAGCCTTCGGCGGCTGCTCAAGAGCCTGCTCGGCCTCTCGCGCCTGCTCAACCGGACGCTCATCCTGCCCACCTCGCTCTGTGGTGACGGGCAGGCGGCGGAGCCGGCAGACGAGCCGCTTGGCTGCCGCCGCTGCTCGACGCTCGCGCGGGATGCGCTGCCGCTGGACGCGTGGCGGCGAGCCGCCGCGTCGTTTGAGGGAGGCGGCGTGCGGCTCCGCCCGGCCAACTTTCTCTCCGATGCGCGGCTCCCCGAGCGCCTCCGCTCGTCGCACGTAAGGGTGAGGCTGCCGGACGGCGCCTCTGCGATAGAGGCGGCCGCGGCGCTGCGCGACTACGAGACGACGGTCGTGCTGGAGATCGACCGCGCCGCCGAGGCCTTCTGTGGCTGGGAGGCGCGGCACGACACTGGACACGCCGGGGAGGCATTCGAGGCGGCGGTCAGCCCGCTCCTGGGTGGCAGCGGCGCCGCGCAGCTCGCGCATTGCTCCCACTTCCACGCCGGCGCCGTCACCGTGCTGTCGTTTGTGAGCCTCGGCACCTCTGCCGCGCACAACGTGTCTGCTCCGTGGGAGAGCTTGCCGCGCTCGGTTCGCGAGCTACCCCGCGGGTCGGACCTCGCCGTCACCTTTGCCACCGGCAGCGTCTCCACGATGGCGCTCAATTGGGCAAAGGCGACCGTCTCGGCGGGGTTGAGCGACATCCTCCTCGGCGCGCTCGACGAGTCTATGCTCAAGGCGTGCCGCGCCGCAGGGGTGCCGTGCGTGCTCATCCAAGGCGGCGAGGCGTCGGTGGAGCTCGCAAAGGTGAGCGGCAACCTCCGCTCGCGGCCGTCGCTCTACCCAAAGATGAGCGTGCTCAAAGTCGGCTTCTACCGCGAGCTCCTCAGCTTCGGCTTCAACGTCTGGGCGTGCGACGCCGACGCCATCTTCCTCGCGGACCCGCGGCCGCTACTGCGCTCTCCCTCCTTTGCGGGCGCGCACCTCGCCGCCGCGACAGATTGCATCGACGTGGCTCTCGACGCGAGGTCCCCGCTCTTGCACTGCGACCTCAACACTGGCCTCGTGTACCTCCGCTCCAGCGCCGAGACCATCGCGTTCGCCGAGGCGTGGCGCGAGACCATCGCGCACGCCAAGGAGGCGCGGATCCGCGACCAGTACGCTTTCAACATGCTGCTCAAGTCGGGCGGCTCGAGTCTGAAGCGCGACGCGGCCGCCAGGCAGGCCGGGCCTCGCATCTTTCGGGCCACTCCGGCCGGCGGCTCGCTCCTGCTGGGCGTGCTGCCGCTCAGCCACTTCCTCAACGGCCACACCTACTTCGTGCAGCACGCGCACACGCTACCCGCCGCGCCGCAGCCTCTCGCCGTCCACCTCACGTACCAGTTTGCCGAGGGGGCGTCGTTTGCGCACGGGAAGCGGCAGCGGCTGCGACAGGCCGGGCTCTGGTTCGTGGACGAGGACGAGTACTACGCGGGACGCTTTGTCCGCGTCGGCGACAGCGCGGCCACTCTCCCGCCGTCGCCGCTGCCGCCCAACGTCACCTCGCTGACAGCGATCAACGCGCACCTCGCGGAGGCGCGCCACCGCAGCCGCGTGCTGCAGGCGCTGCTCGGCATCGGCAAGGCGCTCGGCAGGACCGTCATCCTGCCAAGGATGCTGTGCTACTGCGATTTCATGTGGAAGGAGATGACGCACTGCCGCGTCGGCGGCGCCTTTGGGATGCGCCTCCCGTTCGACTGCCCGATGGACCACGTGTGCGACACGCCAAGATGGATGGAGCAGGGCGTCCCCGGCGTCACGGTGCGAGAGCAGGGCTTCCTCTCCAACCCGCGGGTGCCGCGCAGCGTGAGCGGCTCGGTCCAGCGGGTAGCGCTGCGGCCCGGAATGACCGACGCCGACTTGCGGAGGGAGCTGGGAGCCGAGAGCGCGGCGGTGCTGGAGGTGGCGGACGCGGTTGGCACCTTCTGCGGGTTTGCCGACGCCGGCACCAACCGCTCCTTCGCACAGGCCGTCGGGCGGCTCCTGGCCTACAAGCGCACCCCCTTTTGCTATGACGACGGGCCAGGGCCGAGGGCGCCCGGCTACTCGCAGTGCTGCACCCCACGCAAGCCGGGCGACCCCTTCTTCCCCTGCAAGTACGGCTTCGACCCGCCAGAGCCCTTTCCTGCGTGCGCGCGGAGAGGTAGATGACGGCGTCGAGTATATGAGCCCCTGATCTTGAGTATCGTGCCGGAAACGGTTGATTTTGACGTATTTCTTTTTCTCGCGCGGCCTCCGGAGACCGAAAACCCCTCCTGTGTGACCAGGCACGATGGGGGACCAGGGTCCGTACCAGGCCGCCCTCAACGGAAGTGAGTCGGTGGTGCTTGAAGCCCTCAAGTCAAAACCTGACCTTCTCAACCAGCAACTGGATAAGGGGATGTACACAGGCTATACTCTGCTGCACTGCGCTGCCGCCAAAGGCCACGCCTCGCTTGCAAACACCCTGCTAAACAGGGGCGCGTCGACCACCCCGGTCAACCCAAAGGGCAAGACGGCCGCCGACCTTGCCGAGAAAGGGGGCCATGTTGCGCTCGCCTCCCTCCTTCGCAGCAGAGCGACGCGCCCGCCGCCGCCGGCTGCCGCGGCTGCGGCTGAGGCCATGGTTGAGGACACCGTGACGGCGGCAGCGTCGTCGTCCAGGGTGACGAAGGATTGGTCGTGCGGCGGCGGATGGCCGGCAGCAGCGTCTTCACCGGGACCCTCGGCGCCACAACCACCGCCCACCTTTGCGCAGCCACAACCGCAGCAGCCGCACACGCTGCTGCACATGCAACCGCAGTCGCATCAGCCGCCGGTGCAGCAGCCGATGCAGCAGCAGGTGCAGCCGTACGTGCAGCCGATGCAGCCGCAGATGCAGCAGCCGATGCAGCAGCAGGTGCAGCCGTACGTGCAGCCGATGCAGCCGCAGATGCAGCAGCCGATGCAGCAGCAGGTGCAGCCGCCGATGCAGCAGCAGGTGCAGCCGTACGTGCAGCCGATGCAGCCGCAGATGCAGCAGCCGATGCAGCAGCAGGTGCAGCCGCAGGTGCAGCCGCAAATACAGTTTCAGGCTCAACCGCAGCCGCACTACCAGCCGCCACAGGCGTCACCACACGCGCCGCCGCTCGCGCAGCAGCACAGCGCGCCGTTGGTGCCGCTTGCCGCGCAGCCGCAAGCCTTTTCGCCCCCCCAGCAGCACGCGTACGCGCAGCCAGTCGCGCAGCAACAGGCCTACGCACCGCCCGCCGCGACGATGCATTTTGCACCGCCGCAGCAGCCACAGCCAGCGCAGCCACAGCCGACGGCGCCGCAGCCGCCGCCGCCGCCGCAGGCCGGCGCATCACCGGACCTTCATTCGGCTGTGGTGCAGCTGCTGCAGGCGAAGGCGCCCGCCGTGCAGGAGGGAAAGTACCTCGCCGTCGTGCCGAGCGACGCATTCGACCGCGTCATCGGCGCCGAGCCGCCGGGCAGCCGGATCTCGCCGCTTTGCGTCAGCAACGGCGCAAAGGTCGAACTGGACCCCGAGAAAGACTTCTACTCGATGCGTATCTTCGACCCGGACGGTGCTGCAGGAACAGCAAAGCTCGAGGCGATGCTGTGGGAGGTGATCGCGCCGCTCGGTGACTCCGAAGCATGCGGTGCCGGCGTGCCGGTGGCGGAGCCGCTGCGCACGCGGCTGAGCGCCGAGCGGATCGCCGAGGTCAAGTCGGGCTCTGGGGCAGAGGTCGCAAGCGAGCAGGGCGGGCTCTACGTATGGGGATCCTCGTTGTCGGTCCACCTCGCTCTGCTGCTGCTGCTGCGAGATGTGCTCGGCTCGGAGCACGCACGCAAGTACGAGGCTTACGCCGGCACGCTGCATGCGTCGCTCGTGCCCGCGCTCACCGACAAGCTAGCTGGCATACCGCCGGCCTCCGCCGACGCCCGCGCAGCGCGCCCGCGCCTGCTGCTGCAGCGCTCGGCGGCGCAGGAGCGCCCTCCCTTGCTACGCGGCTCGGTGTGGGTAGGGCGAGACAAACTGCAGCCCGCCGCCTCAGCCGCGGGCGCCGCGGCGCAAGGCGCGGCCCCCACCGGCGACTCGCAGCTGCTGCACCTACGGCGCTTCGCCCTCCGCGGCGCTGCGCCAGAGGACGGCGGGCCGCCGCCGCTGCTCTGCGCCGCCGGGGTGCGCGCCGCGGTGGCTGCGCTTGCGCTGCGGCTGGGCGACGGCGCGGTGCGGAAGGGCGAGTTGCAAGCCGCGCTCGCACCGCTCGCGCCGCTCGACGCCGCTGACGTCACCGCGCTCACCGCCGCCGTGGCTTCCTCCCTCCGCGATCGCCTCCTCGGAGGCGGCATCGACGCCGCAGCGCTGCAGACCGCCGAGGTGGCCACGGTGTTGATCGACCGCGCCGCCGCGCCGCGTGCATCACCGGCCAACGGCGCCGCACCCAAACGAGAGCGGCCCGCGCCCATGCTCTCATTTGGACCAGGTGTGGCGGCGGCCGCCGCCAAATTGGCCCATGAGCCCGAGGCGCCGCTCCCCGCGCCGCCCAAGCCTCCGGTCGAGACGGGCGGCCCATACTCCGCGGCGGCCGCCGAAGCGAGCGGCAGTAGCGATAGCAGCGACAGCGAGGACGCCAGCGACGAGCGGCGCAGGCGCAAGCGCAAAGAGAAGAAGGAGAAGAAGAGGAGGCGGCGGGACGAGTCGGACTCGCTCAGCGATGGCCAGTCGGCGGAGGAGAAGAAGCGGAAGCGGGCGAAGAAGGAGCGGAAGCGATCAAAGAAGGAGCGCAGGTCGACGGAGCAGGCCCAGCGCGAGGGGCAGGACTGAGAGCATTGCAGTCTACGGGCATACGAAAACACACGCCATGACACACGCACTCCTGACGTAAAGATATGAGTACGCAACAGAGGAAACGAAGAGCGTAGCTCAGTAAGAGAAGACTGTACGGATGAGGGACTGTGAAAAGAGTAAAGTGTGTCAGAGTACACAGAGACTTACTTGAGTGTTGAGAGAGGCTCTCGGCGGCCTGCAGGGCCCGCGAGGCATAGAGCGGCTCAGCGCTTACGGGAAGAGGCTGAGGTTTGCTTCAGTTGCGATTGAATTGAGTGGACCCAAAGTGCGGGAAGAGCATATGCGCTTCTGGCGGTTGATCATAAGATTGGGTGTTTGCTGGTGGCGCCTCGCTCGCGCTCAAGCCTGCTCCAAACACGTCGTCTGGAGATTCAACTGCGCTCGATTGGCAAGAGGAGGAGCACGACGACAGCTGCGAGAAGGGCGGCATCTGAGGCGGCCCAATAAAAGTCGGAGGAAAGGCTGAAAGCAAGGGCGACGGGAACCCCGAGCTGCATTGCGACTGAGGCTGGGATGGGGACGCCTCGGCTGATGGGGAAGCGAGCATGACCGAATGGTTGAAGCTATCTGAGAGATGAGGGCTTGCAAGACTTGGTGCAGCCTTGGCAGTCGAGAGCGAGTTTGTATGGCACTCAAACCGTGGAAGTGCACCGGCGTATGCAGACCCGCCGGATCGCGGAAGGACGGTGAACGTGGACAAAGAAGGTGACGCTGGGCCGGAATTACTAGGAAGAGAGTCCATGCTCGCTTGGCTGCTGCTGCTCCCATTACTACTTGCTGGGCCCACGGCGAGTCGTCTGAGCAGAGGAGATGGCACGCTTGTCAGAGGTGGCGGTCGCGTCGGGACCGTTGGCGACAAAACAGATGGGGAAGACGGACAGCTCGCTGCAGTCGGAAGTGCCGCCCTTGCACCAAACAAATCGGGCGATGCGCATTCCTCGCTGCGAACCGATGGCGACCCCTGCGAGCACATTGCCGGAAGGTTGTGCTCTTTGCCAGGCCACGAACCCGCGATGGCGCTCTTGGCTGGCATGCTTGAACCCACGTGTTGGGGCGACTCGTGCGCCGCAGCTAGATCACCCTGCAAAAGCATGAGGTTCTCCGATGTGAGGGTTGAGACCGAGGGCAGCGAAGCCTGGGCTACTTGATCATTAGCCACTGGTGAGCCGTGCTTTGCTGGCCGCGAAGTAGAGGTCGTCGATGACGCGGCGCTGGAGATATCGCGCCGGCCGCTCGGCGGGGTCGCGTTGGGCGACACTGGCGCTTGATTTCCGCGCCGCCGATCTCCGGAGCTTCGCGACGACGTCGACACCCCACCTTTGATCTCAAGCTGCTCACGCCTTGCCTGCACACGCGCCGCCGCGGCGGCGGCCGCCTGCTGCGCAGCCGATTCCTTCTCTTCCGCTTCAGCCGCCGCCCTATGTGCTGCCGCCGCCGCCTCAGCTGCCCTCGCCGCCCTCGCAGCCGCCGCTTCCTCCGAGGGCGGCTCGGCTTTTATCGATGGCGGCTCGGCTGATCGTAGATGCGGCAGTCGTCGCGGGCTCGCATCAACTGGGAGCGCACCGAAGACCTTGACCTCCTTTCCTGGACCGGCTGAGGCGTTGTGAAGCCTCTGCTTGCTGCTCGCAGAGCCAGAGAAGGAACGCGCGCGCGCGCCTCGAGCTGACTTTGAGTCGTCCCAGTCGTTCTGCGGTGGGCGCACTTGAACCATGCTGCGCGTGAGCTGTGCCCTCTCGCGCGCTGCGCTCGGCGAAGGAAGCGACAGCCTGCTTGGCACGAGCTGCAAGAGTCGCTCCATCTGGGCCAGGCGGTGCTTCATGCGATCAAGAGACTGCGTGACCTCGACTGTGACGCCGAGCATGAAACGATAGAGGCCAGAGGAGTCAAAGATTGGGCGGAGGGCAATCAGGTGCAAAAAGTCCGTCCCGTCCTTCTTCCGATTCAGAAGCTGGACTTTGACTTCCGTAGCTGTCCGCATCGCTTGGCGCATCTGCTCGATGGTCTCTTCATTGCTCTCGGGGCTGGAGAGCCGCCGGCAGCTACCGCCGTGCAGCTCCATGTTGGTGTAGCCCGAGATTCGCTCGAAGCCGCTGTTGACAAAGATGATGGGAGCACCCGGTAGGGTCATGTCGCATGCGAGTACCCCGACGAACTGGCCATGCACTGCGGAAATGAGCAGGCGGAGCCACCCGTCGGTGTCGACCGGAAGCGAGGCTCGGCACGATGAAATCAATTCGCTCATTCGCACCTCGCCCGCATCGTCCGAAGCGGCTAGATTCGCCTCTAGGTTCGCGCCCACCGGGGAGCTTATCATGGCGTGCCACGCGTCGAAGACGAGTAGATTGGCGAGCGTGTCGCGATGCAGCTCCAGGGAGCGCTCGACGTCCTCTTGAAGCGCCGAAGAAAAGCTCGTGGCGACACTGCCAGCCGGCGAGACCGGCCGGGTCGCCCCCTGCGAAGCGGCGTCCCCGGCCTCCCTTGTCATCTCAGGAGGCGCGAGCTCGGAGAGGTCAGGCTTCTTCTCCTCCACCTTCCGCCACGCCTCGCGCGATTTCTTGCGCCGCCGGATCACGCCGCGCTCAGCCTTTACGTGGCTGGCGTACAACTCGGTCATCTTCTCGGTCTTATCTTCGCCAGAGAGCGCTGCGAGCCCGGCGACCTCTCTGATGTACACGAGTATCTGGCTCAGGTACGCGAGCGGGTCGGTCGCGATGCTGGACGAGTAGAGCGCAAGCTGAACACTCATGATCGCCGGTGCCCCCGGCAGGATTGGGCGAGCCAGAATCGCCGTTTGAGCCGATGAAGCTCGCCTTGCGGTCCGGGACTTGCATGCACAGCTGTGGCGGCGCGCCGACCTGCAACCACTCGCGTCGCGTGTCCGTTACCTGTTAGATTTACTCGCAATTTCGGGCAAACTCCGGGCCCTCTGAGGTACGCTCGAGGGGTAATATTTGTTTCGCCGCGCGGACCTTCTTCTCTGCGCTTCTTCCTTCTACTCGCCTATCGCCACAATCGCCGCAAGCTTTTAACACGCGGCTGAGAAGTGATAAGAGGGCTCCCGCGGCGATCAACACCGCAACTCCTTTTCTAATTTCACCACTCTTCTTACGCGCGACGACGCTACAGCCTCCACCAAACCTCACACTTTTACTCACCCTCGGACATGCTTGCACCGTCATCCTGCGCGTCTGATGCGTCGCGCATCTGCTCGTCACCCTCTCCGTCACTCGCGTCGGCGGGCGACCGGGCTGTGGGTGCGGCCTGCTTCTTTCTTGCGCTCGCGGCGCCGGCGCCACGGCGCCGTTTGCGTCCGTCCTTTGCGCTTCGCTTGGCAAGCTCGCCCGCAAAGTACGCCGCGCGCGCGGCATCCCAGACGCCCTCCCCGTCGGCGTAGCCCGCCTCCCAGATGGCGAGCACGGGGTTGTGCTTGAGCTTGCGCAAGTGGGCGCTCTCTTTCTTCGGGTCGAAGCCCACCACGTAGAGCCGGCTCCCGAGGCGTACGCGTGAGGCGAGCGTGTAGACATCGGTCAGGCTGAGGTGCGGCATCAAGCCGTCACGCGGGCCGATGCTCAGGATGATGTAGTCGAGCGTCTTGCCCTGGACCTTGTAGTCGGTGACGGCACAAAGGCGAGGTCGATTTCGTGCCGCTTGACATTTAGCTTGGGCGGCACTGACGCCGCCGTTGGGAAACGCAAGGCGCACCTTTTTGTTTTGAAGACCTCGATACTTAGCGCACTGCTCGGGCGAGAGCTCAAACACGTGCCGCGTCTCGTCTTCGCCGCCGGCTACGCGCACAGACACAGTACGCGGCAGCGCCGACACGTCAACCCGCGTGTACGTCAGCGACGGGTCCCGCACGCCGCACGAGGCGCATGCGTGCAGCGGCAGCGCGTGCGCCATGCGCTCGTCGCTCCACTCGCCCAGCAGCCGCCGCTTCGTCTCGTCGGAGACGTGCACGCAGCGCTGCAGCAGCGCCGCCGTCTCGTCCTCGGGCCGCTCCAGGTCCATGACGACGTTCGTCGAGGCGTGGAAGCGCGTCTCCAGGTCGATGGCCGCCTGCTCGGCCGCGGCGAGCTTGCCCTGGTCGACGCACATGCCGCACACCGCGTGCGCCGGGCAGCCGCACTGGCCGCGTTGTGGGCGCACGGTCTTGGCGACCGCCGGCGCTGCGCGCCGGTCGTGCTGCTCACGCTGCCGGCGGCGCTGGTCGCGCGCCTGCCGATCGCGCGTGTTCGCGGCGGCTGCATCTCCTGCTCGTTTCGCTCGCACCCGAGCGGCTGTCGCCAGGCGCTTCAGGTCGGCGGTGCTGCGCGCGCGGCCGTCGGCCAGGCACAGCCACATGTCCTCCTCCTCGGCAGGCTCGCACGGCTTGCCGTCGAACTGCGGCTGGCGCCCGCGACGATGCTTCGCCCAGGCCGGGCACGATGGTGCCGCGACGAGCGGCGTCGAGGCGACGGCCATCGATGGGTCCAGAAGACTTGGAGACACTTCTCGACCAAAAAATCGAGCACAATTGCGTTACATGGGCATGGCCGGGGTTTCTGCACCGAACGATCTTACTTTCGGTCTATCGAAAGTGTTGATCGATAAACAACCATCGTGCACATGTGCAGTTGCATCGACCATCGTGCATCGATGGTGCGGGGTTCGAGCTCTTTTCGCGCGAGGTCGCCTGCCGGCCGTCTGTGGTCCACGAGATAAACTGAGGTCGGCAAATGCTCTCCAACGCACACACACCGTTCATCTCGCGGGTCACGCCTCCTCGCCCGCAGCAATACACCTCATTAGTCTCTCCTCGCAAGCGGCCACACCCTGGCCACGCAGCCTCACGCGGTTCCGCCCAGGGATGCCCTCGGCGTCCGGGTGGCTACGCACGCCCTCCAGTACGTCGACCTCGCGCAGGAGCTGCACGACGGGGTGGGGCGACCGAATGGTGAAGTCGCCTGCGTCGGCCGGGCCGCCCGCTTCGGCATAGGTGCTGTGTGTCGCCGCCGGATGAAAAAGGACGATCTGGAGGTGCTCGGCGTGGCCCCTGTCGACGATGACCTCCGCCTGGAGCTTCCAGCTAAGCGCGATCAGCTCCCGCCACCCGAGAGCGCCGTTGTCTAGCGTCCCGCCCAGAACAAGCAGCGATGTCTCAGGAGAGCCCTCGGTACCGGGCGAGTCGAGCCCCAACCTCAGCGCGGCGGCCTCCTCGGCCAGCTCCGCGGCGACCCCGCAAGAGCATTCGGCGACGGAGGCGCGGAGCCGAAGGGCGGGCGGCTGGCGCACGGGCGGCGCGAACGGGCAGAGGCGTTGGCCGATGACGATCGAGTCGAGCCAGCGGCGCGTGTCTGCCAGCCGCCGCGCCAGCTTCGACATGTGTGCGGTCGAGCTTCCTTGGTGTCGCGGCTCTTTTCGCTTGCTATCGCCTCGTTGCGAGGCCTTGGGCGGTGTGCCGTCCAGGCGGGATCGAAGTTTCTTTTCGTGTTTTCGACTTTCGCTCGTTGGGGTCGCTGTCAGCTTTCCGGTTTTTCTTTTCCTCGCGATGTCCGCCGGGGGGGGGCGCCGCCTCGCGTCGCCTCGCCGCCGCTTCTACCGCCGCTCCCTCGCCAGTCAGACCGCCACCCACCCGCCTCCTCGACCTCCCCACGGAGCTCCTCGTGCGCGCCATCTCTGGCTGCGACCCCGCCGACATCGCTCGCGTCGCGGCCATCTCGCTGCTCTTCCACGCCTCGCTCGCGGTGGAGGCCATCCGCTTGTGGGCGCAAGAGCGCGGCTTCGAGCTGCCGGCGCAGCCAGAGGGTGAGAGCTGTGCCGTGCGGTGGCTGTGCTTCGCTGCGCTGCTGCGCGCGTCCAACCCACCGGCGAGGGCGGCCGCAGGCGAACGGCACAGCCTCTTCATTGACGGCGAGGGGCGGCTCTCGTCGTGCGGCGGCGAGGGGGGCCCAGGGCTACTTGGCCACGGCGAGGGCGTGAGGCGGCTCAACACGCCAACCCGCCTCGCCTCCCCGCTGGGAGGCGAGCGCGCCGTGAGTGTGTCGGTGGGAGATGCCCACAACCTCGCCCTCACCAGCGGCGGCGCCGTTTGGAGCTGGGGCTATGGAGGCCGCGGCCGGTTGGGCCACGGCGATCATTAGGACCAGTGGCAGCCCAAGCAGGTCGAGGCCTTTGCTGGCCAGCGCGTCGTTGCTGTGTCGGCTGGTTCCCACCACAGCCTCGCCATCACCGCCGACGGTAGCGTCTGGAGCTGGGGCATGGGAGAGGGTGGCCAGCTGGGCCACGGCGACATGCAGGACCAGCTGCTCCCCAAGAAGGTTGAGGCCTTGACTGGCCAGCGCGTCGTCGCCGTGTCGGCTGGAGGAGCGTTCCACAGCCTCGCCCTCACCGCTGACGGCGCCGTCTGGAGCTGGGGCTGGGGAAGCTTTGGCAAGCTGGGCCACGGCGACCAGCAGCGCCAGCTGCTGCCGAAGAAGGTCGAGGCCTTCACTGGGCGGCGCGGCGTCGCTGTGTCGGCGGGAGCCCGCCACAGCCTCGCCCTCACCGCCGACGGCAGCGTCTGGAGCTGGGGCTTTGGTTTGGACGGTCGGTTGGGCCACGGCGACGAGCCGGGCCACGGCGACTATCAGGCCCAGCTGCTGCCAAAGCAGGCTGAGGCCTTGGCTGGCCAGCGCGTCGTCGCCGTGTCGGCAGGAGAGCGTCACAGCTTCGCCACCACCGCCGACGGCAGCGTCTGGAGCTGGGGCGCAGGAGGCTTTGGCAAGCAGGGCCACGGCGACGAGCAGGACCAACTGCTGCCGAAGAAGGTCGAGGCTTTTGCTGGCCAGCGCGTCGTCGCTGTCTCGACTGGAGGCACCCACAGCCTCGGGGGTGGAGGCCGCTCGCGAGCCCGAGCGGGGCGCGGCGGCCGAGGCGCTCTCACGTCGCGTGGCAGTATGGGCTCGAAGCTGGGCCACGAACTAGCTGCTGCCCGAGAAGGCCGAGGCGTCCTAGACGTGGGCGTGGCGCCGCACGTGGTGTGTTGTCGCTCCTAGGCGGCTCCCGTTTGTACCTTCCGGAAACCATTTTCTTTTTTCGACCCTCAGCGCCTCACCCCTCACCGGACACAGCACCCTCGGGGGGCAGGCGCACGCGCGCTGGTGAGGCTCGGGAAGGGGGCGGAGCCGAGTGCGACCTGCAGGGGGATTGTCCGGTGGAGGGGGCGGGGCGGGGGGCCGGCGGAGCGGGGTGGGTCGGGTCGGGTCCCTCGGGTCGGGTCGGGGCCCGCAGGGTTGCTCGGGTCGGGGTGGGGCGGGGTGGGGTGGCGATGGCCGATGGTGGGGTGGGGCGGGCGCCGGAGTGGGAGTCATATGGGCGGCGAGTCGGAGGACGCCTTCGTAGTCTTTTGTACAGACAGCAGCCTGGCCTTCAAAAGAAAGAAAGCGGATACAAAACAAGAACACAACGCACTCAAAAAACACATGACAAGCGATCCCACGATTGCGGATGTGGGGACTACATGATTACATGAAGGGTGGAGCGGAGGGGCCCGTCTGCAGAGCTAGGCGGCGCGGGCACCGCCCCCCACTGGGCGCCGAGGACAAGAAGCCGTTTGTCGCTTGCTTGTTCTTTTGCTTGTTGATCCAGTCGGTACGCTCCTTGCGCGCCTGCTTGTTGATGTTTTCGGCGTCGCCCGCCACCGCCGCCTTGGAGATCTGCTGCGTGTGGTGGACGACGAAGGAGGAGGCGCTCGCCGACGCCGCCCCGTACAACGAGCACCAGCCGCGTTATGGCTTTCTTGACCCACTTCGCGTCGTAGTACTCTTCTGACCACTCCGGATCCTGCTGGAACAAGTTCCTCTTGTAGCTCGATCGGTCACACCGCCATCGCCGTCGGGGAGAGGGGGGACGACACTGCTTCGGCAGCGTGCACCTCGATCCTGTACCGTGTTTGTTATGACCCCCCCCAATGAACACACACACCAGTGAGGGTGGGCGAGACGATCGAGGGGTCCCGTACCATGCGGAATCGACCCTATCCAGTGCTCAAGTGCTCAAGGTAGTACTGCGCCCCCATCCACTTCCTCTTCCAGCGCCCGTATCCGTCTTGACCCACCCCTTTCCATACGCGTGGTCTTTGACCCATCCCTTTCCAGTCGAGTGGTCGAGCGGTCCGTCCACCTGACGGCCACGCTCCTTGCACCCCACGACTCCCGTCAACGCCTTGTCCAGCGTGTTTCCAAACCCGTAGAGGTGGCCCACCGACGCCACATTGCCACCATTGTCCCACGAGCCACTCCCCACCGTCGTCGACTTGATGAGCGAGTTCCAGCACTTGACCTCGTAGTAGTGCGCTCAAAAGAAAGTGGGCGGCGTTTTTCTCTTCTCTCTCTTCCCTTTAAAATCCCTGTGTGGTGGCGGCGTGCCGTCCTCCCATCCCTCCCTGGCGCGTTTTGTTGCTTCCTTTTTTCTTCCCTGAGGCGGGTGGTGATAGCCGCTCACTGCGCGGCGGGAGGGGCGCTTGGACAAGGGGCTGGCGCGCCGACCGGTGCGCCACCGCCTCGCCGCCCGCCACCCCACTCGACTCCGCGGCGTCCCCACCGGTGAGCCCGCGGCCGCTCCCCCAGGCGCAGCGCGTCAGCATGGAGGAGCAACTGCTAAATTTCGCCGTACCACTCGACCTGAATGTGCTCGAGCAGGTCGTGCAGATGGTGTACACCGGGACGCCGCAGCAGGCGCGCGCACTCCCACCACACGCAGCCGAGCTCGCGCCCCCCGCTCGCCCCCTCTCCCCCCCTCGGCCTCGGCCGCGCACGCATCCTTGGCGGAGGCCGAATCCACGCTCGGCGCGGGGGCAGCCTGAGCGTCCGCGTCGTCCGCTGTTCGCGCGCGGAGCCAGCCATGCCGACATGCCTCGTGGCGTGCTCGTCGCTGCCCCGTGACACCCGCCCCGATACCTCCGCCTGCAGATGCAATCCGCGCAGCGGACGCTCTCGCAGCTGCAGGAGCGGATAGCGGGCGAGGACGCGGCGGGCGCGCTCAACTGGTTCAGAGTGGACCAGATCCTCGACGCGAGCGCGCCATGCACGGCGAATACGCGCTTCTACGCCCTGCAGATCCTCGACGGCGCGATCAAGTACCGCTGGAAGACGCTGCCGCCGCCGCAGCAGGCGCGGGGAGGGAGGGTGTGTGAGTGGGGGGGGGGGGTGGGGGGGG